CTCAAGTTATCCATTAAATAATGTGAAACAGAAAGGTGCAGTCAGAGATTGCACAACTATTAAACCTAGTAACAATACTAAATGTTTATGAAAAATTCATCATAGGTGAATTGCTGGCAGTATAAGACACCGTTCTTAGGTACACAGAATCAGTGTAGATACAGTGAGTGATAGACAAGTGACCATGATGTGAGTTAGTTTGAATTGAATTCATACATTTCTAATTAACCAAGAACCAAATAATAACCCCACTTCATCCAGACAGTGTTTGCAAGGTCACCATCCACCATCAGAGCAGGGAAGCTGAAAAAGGGAAATAATTTGCATAGGTCAATAACGACAGCAATTATAAGCCATTATCATACGGCTTACCACAGCTAATACAAGTATGTTTCTCAGTGGCTTGTGATAGACTATGAGATGTCATGGAGCCCAACAGAGAAATAATTCCAGTATACCTTCTAAAAATTAAACTCTCAGCACCATAGACAAACAGTACCTCATACTGAAGCCACGATGAGAACAGCATTACCTGTGGATCAGGCACAGTTAGACATGATCAATCTTGGTGAAACAGAAATTTAAGCATATTGACAATGATATGTTAATTTCTCTTTCAGTTTAGAAAAGAAGAATTAGCAGAAGCACTTGTAGCCTCCATCTGTGAAAGTATAAACATGTTTCTTCTTGTAGCTATTCATTACTATAAAGTTGTAAGTGAAATAGTCCATTGTCTGTTCAAGATATTCTTGTGGCAGCAGTGAATTTCCACCTCAAGAATATACAATATAAGAGATGCATTGTAATGACATGATTTTAATCTTGCCTATCCATCTTCATTTGCTGCCTCCAATGTTAGTTAATTTTGATGAACTCATAGTCTCACAGCTGTGATTGTGTCAGGATGCAACAGCAGCAAGGGGTGTAGGAAGCAGTAATATCTTTAAATATTGGAAAAAATAGTCAATCTTTAGGACATCCCTTTTCAGAAAAAAAGACTAAGTAGTTGCATATAGTTGATTGCCCAGCTCACTTACTGTAATGCATACTAACAGAGAACATTTTGAAATAGAGTACCTTAGAGACAGTCCTCAAGATCAAGTGATGACTTTTGTAACAGAAAGTTTTGAACATGTACTTCTAAATGAGTGTTAGGAGTATGAGACATACTTGAATTTATCAAAGTCAAATAAATGGAAACATTAAGGTCAGGTTTTTTAGGATAATTATTTTTCTGTTCTGCATGTCACCTTGCTGTGTTTTCCAGACATTTGAGATTGCTTTTTGTACATTGAAAAAGTACTATTGAGTTACAGTTTTGGCATTCTTTAAGAAAAAGACATTGTTTTTTTCAGGCAAAATTTTCTTAGCAATTCATGTCAAGTTTATGAATGGTTTTGGAAAAAAACTCATTCTGCAATATTTATTAAACTATTAGGCAAAATATTATAATGACAAGAGGTTTTAATGCCTTAGTATTAACTCCATTAAGCTGAGAAAAGAGAGTACAGTGAACTTTTGAGTCAATTCCACTGCTAAGTTACTTAGAGAATCTTTAGGATACACTCCCCCATATGTGTTAGAGACCTTTCTGAGCTTTCCATACAGTATTTATTACTGTGTTGGCTAAGTGCTGCTATCTAATACCTAAAGCTCTCTCTTTTCTTTTTTTCATTTTGTCTCCACTAGAAGCCAGAAATTTTGATTTATTGTTCTTTTCATTAAAGTCCAATAAAGTCAAATGGGGTCACTGAGTTTGCTATACTACTACTATTCAAATCGATTAATCACATCAGTTTACGTCTGCTGATTGTTCATCTGCAGAGACAGAGACGTTCTGCATTTAGTTGTGAATTCCAACAGTTGTATTCTGTGGTTTTTTTTCAGTCTGCCCTGTGTGGAGGCTTTCACACCACTTGACAGGTTTGGTTGGAGCTGGAAGTCATCAGCTCTGTCCAGGAGAAATAATAGAGACAGTGATCCATCTAGTTCCCACCCCAGCAGAAGTTAGGTTCCCTGGCCCTGTAAAATCCCTCATACCTTCATTTGTCACCCAACTGAAAAACTACAAAAATTGATCAAAAGTGTACAAACCTCTGTTTTCTTCTCATCCCCTACCTGGTTAGTAATTTCTTCTCCAGTTTTCTCAGAGATGTTCTTACACTGAGTTGGCTGCAATAACTAACATAACATAATCATGAAAATACATTATAATTAATTCATGGAAACTTATTGTTCAAAAGAAGAAATATACTTGCCTAAGTAGAAAACAAATATATCTGACACTGAGATACAAAAGGGAAAAGCAAGCTGTAAAAACATGGCCATTATTGGACAGTAATGTGTTTCTTGGTAGCTAGGCTGAAAGACAGAAAGCTTTTGGCAGGTGTGGGTAAAAATGCATGTGTGGTGCCTTACATAACAGATGTCAGTTAGCTATACCTCAAGAGTATCAGACGGTTGCATGTATAAGGACCAGAGCTATAAAAAAATCTGAAGTTTTATCAATCATCATTACCTAGCAACAGGCTTAAACTTTCATTTTGTTGAAGACTTTCTGAGCCTATCTTTAATGTTTCACTAGACATTTTAGACTGTTTATTCATGTTAACATTAGCCTCTGTTTGCAGGGATTCTTCAGCGTTAGACTAAACAAAAAGCAGACAGAAAACCTCTCGCATTTGAGGGTTGTTCAACACTTAATATAACCACTCTTATGTTTTGCCAAGAGAGTCTTACAATGCCATTTGTTTTCTGACAAGTCTTTTCTCAGTGATAGAAGACTGTTGCTCTTCTATCACCAAGGATGCAACCTGTACCCCTCCTGGATTTGTAAAGGCACAACATTAGATAATATCTTAATGTATTACAAATATTTGCAATCACAGCATTTATATGAAGCTAGGAGTAATTTTTATTCTATAAAGTAGATAAGATTAAGTGCAAAGAAACTGATTTTTACGGTAGACACTAAATTAGGTGGTTAACTTGAGATGCCAGAATAATTCATATTACAGAAATACTGTATATAGTCAAAATGTGATTTTCCCTGGCTTCATGTGCAAGTACTGACTACCTGGAAAAATCAGCTCCTGGCATGTACCCAGAAAATGAGGAGCACATGTTCAGTGAAAGCTTCAAAGCCTGTGGTATGAAATGACCCCCATAATATTGTGTGGTAACATATAGAACATGTTAGAAAGGAGGGAAAGGAGGAAAGGAGCTTATACAACGGTCCATTTAAGGCATTGGTCCACATGGGCAGCTGGGGCAACAAGACATGCAAGGCACAGAAGGATGAAGCAGTAAAAACTGCAGATAAGAACAAAATGGACAACAGGGGGGAGAAAAAGAGAGGGAAAAAAAAAAAGAAAAAAAAGAAGAGAGAGAGATTTACTTTCTCTTCACCAACCCTCAGCTGCATGAATAAAAAGTTATGCAAGCTGCTAGAGGCACATTTAAACAGCTAAATCTCCTGTTGTTGCCATCTGTTCCCTCTCAGACTCACAGGTATTGATCAGGAGATGGCTAGCAAGCAGGAACTTGATAACAAGTAATGAAACAAAGTCAAACTGACTCCAGTGCACCCTCACCTCTTTTTTGGTGATCTGCAAAGCATATTCAAATGACATACAGCAGCTACTGAGAAGATAAATGAAGCAGTTCTGATGAAAAATCAGGCTGGCCATGCATGTCTCCCTGAGACTGGGCAGCGGAGGGTGGGCACGAAAGGGCACAGCCTCTGGCACTGGTAGTTTTGGCAGTTGCTGTTCTGGCAGTGCCATGATACCAGCAATGCTCATTCACAGTGTTGCTGCTTCCTGCAGTGGCAACCAACCATAGAAGCAGAGAATGGCACTGGCAGATCCCCTCCTTAAAAATGGCCCACAGTGCAACAGCACTGGCATCTGCTGTCTGTTGGGCTTGCAAATGGACAATTAGAAGCAATCAAACTTATTCAGTATTTCTAGGAAAATAGCATGTGTCTGATAAAAACAAATCCAGCCTTTGTGAAAGGCTACTTCATGAGAATGGAGGCTACCGGAGACTGCTTATTGACATGTAAGTCTTTATTGGCAATTTTAGAGCTCAGTGGCTTGCAGTAGAGTAGCCACACTTCCAGACCAGAATGTGACATTTCAAGACCTTCACTTCACCAAGAGTTGTCCTTCTTGTTCAACCTCATGTCCCCTGTGCCATCTTGCCAGGGCCATACTTTCCTGTCTCCCAAGGCCACCCTAATCCCAAATCCTCAGGGAGAAATTGTAACCTGAGCCCCACAGGTCCCACTCAGGGTTCAGTGAAACCTCAGGGGAGCAGGGGCTGGAAGGCATGGCTCCCCACCAGCACAGCCCACCAGCTGATGCACACAAACTGATCTAAAGTGAGTCAGTTCTCCTCCCTGGGATTACTTCTTTCTGGAAGAACTCTCCTCCTTCAGTTCCACAGCAATACTAAAACTCTAACTGTTTGAAGATGCAGATGCCAGTCAAATGAGCAGTGCTTTAAAAAGCAACAAGTTGCAGTTTGGCCACTGCTGATACGTAATTTGGACATATTTAGGCACAGTTCCTCTGTTATGGTAAAAGCTAAATAAATAGGAAGTCAATACCTCTTAAGTCCCTGCTACAATGCATATAAACCCCAGATCATCATAGATAAAAGACAAGCAGAATTTTTTCTTTAGGAGGAAACAATATCTTTTTAGTCAGTCTTGTTTTCAAATACTGTTGAAATATTGTGGTTGGATTTTTTTTTAAATATCCATTTTGGGATAGACAAATCAAATTTTCAGTGAAAATTGAAATTGCTGTAGTTTGTCAACAAAATCAAAAGGAGGGTGAGTAACATCAGGCTATCTTGAAAACAGTTCAGTGCTGCTAGCTCCATCTGCCCATAACAAACATTTGTCTTTATTTTGTATGTTTCTTTCCATGAACCTGGCTTTAACTTAATTCAGATGGATTCATCTTTGCATATGCTAGTGGCTTGTGCCAGAACAGATTTATTATCTGCTTATCTTTTCTGAATATTTAATGCTTACGTCATCCTGTTGATGAGATTTTTCCAGCAGGCTGTAAACCAGTCAGACCAAATGTGCAGCCACTCAGCTGGGGGATTCATGTGGGATGAGTCACTATCGCGCTGCATCCACAGGCTGCTCCGGTCGTGGTGAGGAAATAACTCCGGAACAGGTACCGTCTCCATGTCACACAGTCTGAAATATGGTGAGCTGCTAATATATTAGTCTGGGATATTATTTTGTTTCAAAGGTGACTCTTCTGTGGTTAGTGTTGAAGATACTAGTTATTATTCTGCACAGATCACTGCGTTCTTTCTTTAATGAACAACAGTAGCACCAACAGCAACAAGGTTTTGGTGGTGGCTGAGAGGATGATTTAAAAAAGCCATTCATTCCCAATAGCTGAAAGAGAAACATAGCTAGGGGGCAAAACTCTTTTCAGGCACAGCTCTGAATTCAGAGTAAGGCTCTTTACTTTCTGTGAAGCTATTCCAGGGCCATGAGGATGAAGAATGAGAAAGCTGGGATTGTACCTGTTTACTGCTCACTGCCTCCCTCCTCCGCTTTCATCTTCATATTGGAGGCTGTGTTTGGAGACCACCAAATATCTACAAACCAGCCACAGTCCTAAATTCATTCCCATGGGCTTGGTGGGTGCACAGGAGCACTAGAGAAGACCAGGGGACCTGCCCCACTGCGTGAGTGCCTCTGCTCTGCACCCGTATCGCAGCTGTGGGGATGCTCTTGCCCTGTCCTGTGGGCAGAGAGATGAGGGGCTGCCCCAGCCCACCAAGGAACCCTGGCACTGCTGTCTGCCAGAGCAGCTTTTGCAACTGAATGGAGGCAATGAACTGTGTCGTAGCATTACTTAGCACGGCTACCAGATATGTAGAAACCCCCTTCACCCCAATGCAGAGATAATTTCTTGGCTTTGGATTAATGTGTTTTGCTTTGCTGTAAAAACATTATCTTCCTGAAATCTCTTATTCCTCTGTGCATTTCAAAGATTTGCATTTATCTTGAGTTTTGAATTTATAGTCCTGATCCTAAGCACTCTGAGAAAGCACAAACATCACATTACTCTGTATAAACAGATAGTTTTACTTGACAAGGAAAAGCGATGGTTTCCACTGAAAAGTAAGAATATAAACCATGGGAAAAGATCTAGAGGTCAATCATCTCACCCATTCGTCTTTAAATTCCTCTGGTATAAATCTAGGCTAATCTCAGATAGTCTTCAGTGGAATTGCACCAGGTTTGCAGCAATAGCATTCAGATTACTAGTTGGCAGATCTTCTCGTTTAACTATATAATGAAATATTTATTTTGAACTAATAGCTCACTGGGAATTTGTGCTTTTTCCCCCAGATTTCAAACATATGAATGGAAACAAGAAGACAATTTTTTGCAATGCTGTGTTTTTTTTCATGAAGACTGCATAAACCGTGAGTGAAATTATATACTTTCAAAATTCCTCTCTGACCATGGGACCACCTTAGAGCCTACAGTAATTTTAAATCCATGGTTCTCCTTGCAGAGAGCCAGTTTTAAAAAGAATCATAAGAAAATGAGAAACTTTCCTCTGTCTAATATATATTGTAAAATTCTGTTTTCTGCCAGATGACCAAACTGTACCCATAGAAATGCAAGCTATAAGAATCACTGTAGAAATCAATGCTGTCCTGCCGTTTGGTTTTTTTCATGGTCATTTCCAAGCCCCATTCTGTTCCTTCCCATTTCCAGTGTCCCTTTCACAGTCTTGTCTATGAAGGGCAGAATCATTTTTTAACGCATTGTTCAAATGACAAAAGTGCTATTTCCGTTCTCTTCTGTGGCGTTTTCCATTTTAATTACTTTGTTTTTTAAAAACAAACAGTAAGTGTAGAAGAGCTGAAGTATGCTAACAGAGTGACATCTCTTTTTCTTAATTTTCCAAAAATCTGAAGACTAATTACTGCAGAAATCTAAATTTTGCAGAAAAGAAAGCCACAGCAACAATTTTCTAGACAAGTTTTTACTTTGAATTTTGATGTATAACTGGTTTATGTATTACAGACTCAAAAGACTGCTAAACACTATTTGCAAGTGCTCTGAGGTCTTCTAAAAATAGAGCTTGACATATTCTCTTTAATATTATAAATAACAAGTTTGAGAATACACATCAGCTTTAAACCATGAGAAATGCCTTTTTGAAGCATCTACAACAGCATGAAAACTTCTTACCAAAGTTTTTTCTGAATCAGTAGTCAATTTGGCCTGCTTAATTACTTAATTGTCTTGATATCTTATAAACTGATACTTCACATTAATTTCAGTAAACATACCATTAAATACCACCCTCCACATGCTTGCAGCTTCTTCTAGGTATGTGGTTCATTCCTTTCTGATGCGTATGGGTCTTGCAGTACAATCTGGTGCATTCAGGGAGAATGAATGATAAGTGCTCTGTCCGTGGGTTGGTGTTTGGTGGAAGAGTGAAGGGCATCTCCAAAAATAGACTATACAGAGACATCATCCTGCTGTGCCTTCCAGTGGCTCCGGCCATGGGCAGCCTCCTGCTGCCATGGGGCTGCTGAAGGCATCTGCTGGTCCCTGCACTGGCCCTGGCCCTGCCTCAGTCGTACTCACCAGCTAGACCCAGCCCACTATCTCCCCTACACTTTGCAAAGTGGCAAGTGTTTTGCAGCTCTTGGCCCTGAGAGGATTTTGGTAGGAGCAGGAAGACTGGCCAGCCCCATAGATGAGTCTTTTCTTCTTTAGAGGCAAAGTCAAGGTGAGAGCCCAGCCACGTTGTTATCAGGGACAAAATTCACCTTTAGTGTCACTAGGTCCCTTTCTCTGCATTTCTTCTTTCAAAAATACATTTCATTATTTTAAAGTATATAGGCGTTTTGGGAAGTCAGCTAGAGAGGGAAGATGGCCTGCCCTGGAGATCTGCACTCAAACTGGCTGCTCTCGGATTTGTTATTTGTTACTTGAACTTTGCCTCCACCAGCATATTCCAGTGTTAAGTGCACAGTGCAGGCACAATGCAGGCAGACAAGATATGACTATCATACAGTCATCTGATAAATATAATAACCCTGTAACATATTGGTCTGCGTCATTGGGTTTTGACTCTTCATTTTATTTCATCTCCCTGAGGATTCCTAGCACTTCCAAAGTCCTCAACAGGTTTACAAAGAAGCAGGTTGCCTCCTGGAGAAATGACACACATGAGAAGAAGAATGGCAAGTTGTTCTTACATTTTATTACAAGTCAGAAACTGGAGGGAAATGCTCCCGCTCCCTGACTGGACTCAAAATCTGGTCATGAAGGGAGGCAGATCAAAAACCCAGACTTCAGAGCCGGCTGCTGCCTGCCCCCCTGCAGCGGAGCAGAGCTGCTCGGGGCAGGGGAAGGCTCCCCAGACCCAGAGGGTACCCCAGGGGTTTGGCTGGTTGCTGCCAGGTGGCTGCTTCTGAAACAAACACTTCAAGCAGAGCTGCCTTTCCAGACTGTTCACTTGAGTTCTGGCCACTGCATCACTTGAAGGAGAGGCATGGCAGGGGAGCAGTGTGTATGCATGTGTGGATGTCCTTTGACCAAGTCCACGTAATGAGCTGGCCGCCAGACTTCTTTACAACTATGAGTTTTGTAGACAGTAAAGCACATTGGATTTGTTCACCTAAACTTTACCTTCCTACAATACGTATGTGTCAATATGGGAATTACCAAGGCCTAAACATTCACTCCTCAAAGAGAAGTTCCTGGCTCCAAGGAAGGTCCACAGCTGTGTATCTCAAAATGTTGAAGGCCTGTCTCAGAGAGCAGTATTTGAGTGCCTAACCTCACTTTGACATTTCCTCAACTATCCCGCGTGGTTTCTCACTCAGCCTGATGGTTGTTCCTGCGGTTTTTTTAGTTGGTAAACTCTCCTCCCATAACAAGAAGAGCCTTGCATTGCAACACCCCAGTCTCTTTATGAGTGCACCGTCAAGAAAAAGAAAAGAACTGAGATGTTTGCTTTTATTTATATTTTGATGCACATAATATAAAGGAGCAGTTAACCCACATCATGCAGCAGATTTTGCAAGAAGTGGTATGTTAATCTACCTTGTTGCATATGTCCTTGAGGCACCCGGCATAACTGGGCTTAGCTGATGGTCACCATATTAACAGTCATTTATATTCAGCAATATCACTGTTTTAAAGGGCTGCACGGTCCTTTGTTGAGCAAAAAATTGATGCTGCTCATCTGTGACGCCAGTACAGCCAATAATAGATGTTTACTTTAAACACCTTTTTGGTAGCTGTATCTTGCAAATAGCTGTTAACTGATTAGGCTGTTAGATTAAACCTGTTTGTTCACTAAAGTAATCAAAACTAGGGTGGTAAATACACATCATGTCACTCAGTACACAATATGCCTTTTCAAGGAAATCTTACATGCTGCTGTGAACTACATATAATTATTTATTTTCCTTTATTTTAGAATCTCACAGAAGGGTCACTATATCATGGGTTTTGTTCTGCACCTAGATAATCTCGGACTGCTCACAATGTAACCACAACATTTAATCAAACAAGTAAAGGTACTTCAAATGAGTTCACATTACCTATAAATAAGACCCATTAAACAAATATGAGTGTTACAGCCATTATTTTGGTCTTAAGTGGGTGACAAAATAAACAGTTTGAGCTACTATTCACGTTAACAGCTGCTCCTCAGACCAAGGGCCAAGAACGCTATTCACTGCACCCAACATCCTCCAGTAGTGTGCCAGAGCTTCTGAAGGTTGCTCTGGCTGCGGATTAAGTGCCTGTCCTCTCAAAATTTGTGTATCCAGAACTGTTATGATGGTGAAGAGGCTCAGCTGTCTTTTGAGATGGTCTTCAAAAGGAAGGGGTGACACTCAATCAGCAGAAAACAAGTCAGCATCAAGAGCAGACTTCTACCCGGCATGAGGGGAGAAAGGTAGGAGAACATGATTTTAAAAGGATGCTTCTTCATATTTCTATTTTATTGAATTTTAAACTTTATAATTAATTATGGAAGAGAAATGTTCTTTCTTTTGAAAACTTTTTCAGTGTTCATCTTATTTGGACAGTTTGCCACATGAATTTTGATTTATTTTGTTTCCATTTCAAGCAAAGCCACACACCTGATCTCAGTTTGCTCAATATTATGTTTGGAGGTTGGAGTTTCTTCTTTCTGTTTGATGAAACAACAAAATCCTCTGAAAATAAGGGTTTTTTTTGAAAGAAAAACAGTTTCCAAGGGAGATCATATTTCTTTAGGCTAAACAGTTTCTCTGTCAGTGAACAATAGGGATGTTATTAATCTTTTAAATAGAAAACTAGAGATAGTACCTTAATTATTTTTAGTTGCCTTTATAGCCTGTTTTGCTATATTGTTTAATATATATACACATAAACAAATGAAAATCAAAATCTATGTGACACATTTATAACCTGAATGTGCTTAAAACTTTTGTAATTATGTTCAGTATATACAGTTAAACTGGTGTTTAATTCTTTCTGCTATGAAAATTGAAAATTTGAGTGGATAAAGATCCAGCTAGCTGTGTTTTCTCTATCTTGGGTGTAAATGCACCAAAAGGAGGAATGATAGGAAGGAAAAGAAACATGAAGAGACAGACCAAAAGTGGAGGGAAATAATATATGAAGTGATAGTTAAAGTGAGGTGGAAAAGAGCAGAGATGGTGTTAAATATTAGTAGACAGAAAAAAAGGGGGAGCAAGAGGCACGCCAAACAGTAAATTAATATACTCTGATTCCACATGTCCTGTTTTCCCGAGACTATCTCTGGATGCACCTTGTCCCTGGCACTTGAGTGCTACTGCCCGGCACTATTTGAAAATCCCTCTATATAACACAAGCTGTTAGTGGTAGATACCAGAGTTTCACAAGCTATAGTTTATCATCTATATTCAACTTCCATTTAGATTCTAATGACATAGTGTGCTTGTAATAACATTAGTTTTGATATGGGAAAATATTAACTATTCTGTGTGTTCTATTGAGAATAACCAGAGGCAGCAAAGTCCCAAATCAAATGGCTTAAATTAGTACTGGCTGAATTGCCATGTCAGTATTTTTCTGACTTAAACAAACATGTTATACCTTAATGATAATGCCAATGAAAAACATACCTTACTGTTCTGTATTTTTCACAATACTATAATTTTTCTGTTAATTGAAGGAAAACCAGATCTTTCAACAATGAATATTGCTTGCCGAGTGCTTAAATATTTTCATCAAATGCTTTTGTAAAAAGAGAGACTTGCAAAAGGGACATGCTACTGCATACACAAGAGAAACACACAATATTTGTGTCCTCAGATGCAGACTAGACCAATGTTCAGAAAATATTTATCTCCATGTTTGTGCCTTGGCTAAAATCAGTATTAACTAATAAATATACATAATGATGCTAAACTAACTAGATCCTGACAGCAAAGATATTTGTTTATACAGCAGCTAATGCTTCAGATTAGCCAGGCTCTTCCATTATATTTTGTCAGGAAAAGGGCAGAAAAGTTTTTTCTCTTCTTAGAACTTTTCCTTACATCTCTATCTACAGATATAGCCCACGAGAATTTTGCAGTAAGACTTGATGTGGTGAGGCAGTGCCATCTGCCTAAAAACTGAGGGCTTATGGAAACTTTTTGGTTTTGCTGGGCTGCCCAGTGGGTTCAGTTATTGCTATCAGGACAGGGCTGGAGGAGCTGCTGAGCATGGGCTCCTCAGCTTTAGCCTTCTGTTTTAGACTTGTAGATCTTAGACTTATGTATCCAAAAACAATGTGAGGGAGCTTCAGAATCTAGAATTACTGATTTTCAAGAGCAAAGTGAGAGATACAGCACTCCAACTAATTTTTATGAAGACTAGGACTGTCCAAACAGAAAATAATGAAAAGGACTTCTCATCTTGCCCACTAGACAAGACATTGCCCAGTGTTCTGGTGTGAAGATGCCCCATTATACAGTTTATTTCATCACACAAGATTCCCATTTCAAAGGGAAGTCTAATGATAAAAGGGTCATTCTGTTAAAAGTATAATTATAAAATAGTTTCATCCTTCACAAATAATGACATGTGAATTTCTTATGCATTCAGATAAATGAAGGTGTTTACAATTGCCCTTTTCTTTCCTTCCTGCAGCTCAGACTGTATAGAAAAGAAAAAAACAGTTGTAAATGTACCTCAGGAAAAACAGTACCAGTGCTGCATATCTACGTGGATTTGAGACCTCAGTAAGGATGCAACTGTGCTGTGAATCCGTAAATGGCTCTTGCATAAGGAGCAGCTGGTCAAACAGTATCCGTGTTTCCATGTATATCTTCATGGTTTGCATAATTCTGGCCACAGTGATTGGAAATTTGACGGTTATCATCTCAATATCACATTTCAAGCAGCTCCATACGCCTACCAATTTCCTTATACTTTCTATGGCTACAGTAGACTTTCTGCTGGGATTCCTCATCATGCCTTGCAGCATGGTGCGCTCTGTTGAGCACTGCTGGTATTTTGGGGAGCTCTTCTGCAAGATCCACACGAGCACAGACATTATGCTGAGCACAGCTTCCATCTTCCATCTTTCCTTCATATCCATCGACCGCTACTATGCTGTGTGTGACCCTCTAAGATACAAATCAAAGATAAATACTTTTGTTATCCTGGTCATGATATTTGTAAGTTGGATGGTCCCTGCTGCTTTTGCTTTTGGGATGATCTTTCTAGACCTAAACTTGAGAGGGGCAGAAGAGATATATAATCATGTCCATTGTGCAGGAGGATGCTTTGTCATTTTCAGTGAAACTTCAGGTGTTGTGGCCTCCATAGTGTCTTTTTATATCCCTGGATTTGTTATGCTGTACATCTATAGGAAAATATACTCTATAGCCAAGAGGCAGGCAAGATCCATTGATGCAATTAGCCAAAAAAAGATGCAATTTGAAATGAAGCACCACATTTCATTCTGCAGAGAAAGGAAAGCTGCCAAGACATTAGGCATAATAATGGGGGTGTTTCTCATCTGCTGGAGTCCATTCTTCTTCTTTACAGCAACCAATCCATTTATGAATTATGTGATACCTCCTATTCTCATTGATGCTTTGGTTTGGTTTGGTTATTTAAATTCTACATTTAATCCAATTGTTTATGCATTTTTTTACATGTGGTTTCGCAGGGCATTAAAGATGATTCTGTTTGGAAAAGTTTTTCAACAGGACTCTTCCAGGACTCATTTGTTTTTAGAATAACATGCTTTAAATGGTTGGATTCCTGACTTCGAATTTTTGCCCAGAGGCTGAACTCCAGATGTAAGAGATGAAAATATAGGATACACCTATTTGTTTACTTATTTTTCAAACCTGGGTCAAGCAGATAAACAAAGCATATTGTGCTTTACATCTTCTTTCATTACAGATTGGGATTTGTATATGGCATTTTGGTTATAGCTATTTATATGCAATGCACAGAAGAGCAAGATGAGTTTAAAAAAAACTTACAGCAGTTTATATCCCTGCTCTTGATCATTAAGAAATTATTCTGATCCAACAAATTAATTTATTGAACAAGGTGTGTTTATATTACAATATTTGTGCTTATTTATTGTCCTTTAGAAAGAGCAGAAAAGCCTTTCCTTTTGAATTTCTAGACATCTTTGAGTAATAACCCAAAACTCTTAAGTTTTGTCCCTCCCCTTCAGTATGTGTGAAGAGGTTAAACTGGGCCCATAACCATCCATACCAGCACACTTCATGGAGGGAAGATGGGACAGAGAAAAGTTGTGCTGCTCTTTCTGTTTCCATTTCAACTAGTGCTTGTCACTTATGAGTTTGTCACTTAAAGGCTTTGCTGCTTAATGAGACCAAAAGCGTGTTTAACGAGATCAAAGACAAGAAAAAATATGATGTATGGAATGGAAAGCAATAGCAGAAAGCAACACTGAACCTGACAGTGACAGAGAATGATGTTTGTCTAATGAATGTTTTGATGTAAAATATTTACCAGTTCGCACCTCACACAACTTTCTTTTATCTTGGACATATTGTTATTTTGTCTGATGGCAATGCTATGACAGCTGGTGAAGAAAGTACATAGAGAATTGTGAAGAAATGCTATGGTTGGCATGAATAGAGTGTGAATGGGGCAGAGTGGCTGTGGAAGCACCAGGAGGCAGAAAAAGGGCTGTAGGAATGGTTTAGGGTGATGGCACCTGGGTGAGAGGCTGCCAAGGTTACCTCTATGGGCAGCTTCTCAGGACACCCAGGTGAGCAAATCAAAAACTAGCACATGGTCACCAGCTGAAGACGACCCACAGACTGCAATTTTTTTTTAATCTATCATCTGGCTTTTCTAGAGTTAACATAATACCAGACAGAAGGAAATAATACCTCTGTCCTGATCTTGTGACATCTGGTTGGACTATGAAGGACAGGAGTGGACAGCAAAGGATTAGTACCTGAGAAGAGACTATGGAGAGAAATTGATGACTCTGTATTGAAGTAAGAGCTATGCTCAGCAGTAAATGATGTCCTCCATTAACATTGCTTGGATAAGTGCACATCGTATGTGTATCTTGTCTTTCTTTTCCATACTTTGTAGAGCACTGAAATACTCTGTACAGCATAAAAGTTGAATGATGCTACATTTCAGCAGAGCAAAATATCAGGATTCAAGATTGTGTCTTCTACTGTTTCACTGCCATCTTGCAAGTTTGCACTCTCCAAAATGACATAAAAAGGAACAATGAAATATACAACACATCATCACTTGTGCTGCAGAAGATAATCCTTGCTAGTGACAATGTCTACTTTAATATTTTATCTCACAGAAATAAAGTAAGTTAAGGTTTTTTAAAAAAATCTGTCTTTCTGATAAATTAATAGGTAATTATCTTCTTCCTTCATCCCCAGTGAGGCTGGCCACGGTAGTCAATTTTCTCATGCACAGTGTTACCTTCTGAAATGAACTGCGTGATCACTTGGACATCTTCATCTCAAAACAGCAGTTTCAGAAGTGCTATTTCTTCTGGTAGTGTTATAGATTGAAGGAAAGTGAACTTTCTCTATGAGGAATGTCACCCATCTGAAGCTTTCTAAGTATGTTTAGTAAGTTCAGCACCTAGTCCCTTCAGGAAGTCAATGGAGAAATTGTTTCTTTCCCTTCATCCACTGTCTATATCCCTGAAAATTTGGAAATATTACTCTTTCCAAAGAATTTCAGCTCTACTTGAATTCACAGCTGGTCAGTCTGTCATCATAATTTCTTCTGGTATGTTTATGGCATTATCTTCTGGTCACAGGAGGAGTTTGTGAATGAATATGATCCCAGCTTGCTTGCAGGATAACCTCTAGTGCAAATAGAGCACACACATCTGCAATCTGTGCCTAGACCCTAGTGCAAAGCTAATCCACTTAAAACCACAAAAACCAGACTCACATGCCTGAAGGTTGATAGCCACCTAATCTAAATTTAGACATCTAAAAGTTAGGCACTACATCTGCTCTAGTCATTAGTAGCTCTCTTTATACTCACTAGAAAAATAGTCACCTTCACAGGGTGTTTTTCATTATATCTAAAATCATTTTCATGATTTTAGATATAATTTTTAGGGAGCTGAAATGAGGATCACTCATCACAGGTGAATCCCACACTATGGAAAAGTTAGGATGATCCTGGAACTCCAAAAATGCTCGTGTCAAAGGCCACTTTTCTGGAACTAGGAGTTAGATGTTTTCTCAGGACCAACTCTTGACTAGCAAGCACCCTGAAATGAGATTTTGGATCTACGGAGTGATTCATACTGAAGATCTGTGTGAATAGCTACAGTTCAGGGACAGTGGTGGGATGGTGGTTTGTAAAGTCCCAGAGGCACACACAGAGTTCCCCATGTCCTGCCCTGAAGCACATCAGGAGGGAAACAGGTCAAAAATTGTTAGCAGCCAGTAGATCATCCTGAGGACACAGGGGAAACCTTAGGTTATGTGGGTCACAGCTATCCCAGGCATGCTGTGCAGAAGTTTGGAGGATGTCATGGTTTAACCCCAGCCAGAGGTAAGCACCACACAGTTGCTCACTCACTCCCCCAGAGGGATGGGGGAGAGAATCAGTAGAGTAAAAATGAGAAAACTTGTGGTTTGAGATAAAGACAGTTTAATAAGTAAAGCAAGGATGCTTGCACAAGCAAAGCAAATTAAGGAATTCATCACTGCTTCCCATCTGCAAGCAGATCTTCAGCCATTTCCAGGAAAGCAGGGCTCCACCATGTGTAATGATTACTTGGGAAGAGGAGCACCATAACTCTGAATATTTCTCTTCCTCCTTCCCCCAAGGTTTTATTGCTGAGCATGATATCATATGGTGTGGGGTATCCCTTTGGTCAGTTGGGGTCAGCTGTCCCAGCTGTGCCCCTCCCAACCTCTTGTACACACCCAGCCTCCTAGCAGAAAAATCCCTGAGGCTGGGTGAGAACTGCTCAGCAATAGTTAAAACAGGGGCGGTGTTATCAACACTATTTTCATCACAAATCCAAAACATAGCACCATACAAATTATTATGAGATGAAGAAAAATAACCCTGTCTCAGACAAAACCAGTAGAGAGGACAACCCAATGTCATGGCTGCACAAGATCACCACAAACTATTTAGTGTAAATGGAAATAATAGAAGACATTTTCAATGTACAGACCAACAACTCTCCTGCAGGCTAGTCTAGCCAAGATGTCACCAATATTTGCAGAAGTAACAAGGGGCTTCCACACACAGACTGTTGGTGACCTTCATCCACACCTAGAAGGCAGTTCTCCTTGTTCTTAATAACCTACAATATAAGTCAGCTTTGTGCATGGCCCAGCTCAGAAAGTTTCTGAAATAACTTTCCTCTGGTGTCCTATTACCTAAAGGTGGCACTTTCCCAAAGAGCCTCCTTGCCTTCTGTTTACAGAGCACCTTCTCTAGCAGAGCAACTTTAATAAAGTCCCAGGTTACTTTCTCTCATTAGCTCTAATCACAGGCAGCGCAAAGCTATTTCTCACTGTGAAGGGGATGTACAAATGAGATGTGTTAATGAGGCCACAGGGACTCTATTTGAATCCAAGACTGAAAAATTAGGAGAGCACAAGAAAAACGCCTCATTCAGTTGTCTGACCAGATTATGAGTTATGTCTGGAAAAGCAGAATGAACCTTACTGCAATCTCAAAGTGTCATCATGTAAATGAAGTGCAAAGGGTATTGTTAAATTCCTTATCAATACATTTAATTAGTGACCTTATTAAACATTTCCCAGATGGCTACCTTTTTCAAAACAAATGAGTCTCCAGTGGGTGATTTCATATGTCTTAACTTCCCTGAAAACTTGTGCAAAGCAATTACTCCAGCATGATGAAAGGCTCTGTTTCACCAGTAAAGCTATGTCTGTTCATTTTGCCACCAGTGAGCACAATTTGCAATGTCACCTTCCTCTCATGCTTTGTACAGAACTGATAGTGAATTTCAGAATCAAGATCTGCCGCCTGTCCCCTCTGCCTTAGTGCCTGTAGCTCATGTTTTGGAGGTTGTAACATGGTGCTGCAGCCTGTGAGGTGATGCCTGCTATGGCCTCCTGTATGATGGTCCTACCTGTGGTTGAGACTTATTGTCTGTCCCTCGGACAGCTGATGCAGCAGGATGGGGGAAGAAGAGAAGCACTGACTGTTCAAGCAGGACCCTTCTAGAAGCCTCACAAGGAAAGCTTCAAAACAAAATGGAGTATTTTAAACTGCTAGATTAAAAAAAAAAAAAAAAAAAAAAAAAAAAAAAAAAAAAAAAAAAACCAAACAGCATTAGTGCAGTGTTCAAACAGAAAAACTGAGCTCTCAAACTGTGTAAATATTGCAAAGTGTATGGCTTTCCTTAAATCATTAACACATCTAGGTTGTGCACTCTCTGTCCTCTATAATGTGCTAATACCCATTCAACAAGGAAGAAAATACTAGATGCAGTCAGACATGATGATAAATGTTCTACAGAAGTCCTTTACTTCTGTAGTTTTCCTGATCATCTTAGTTATCTACAACACTACTTCCACAGTAATGCATCTAAAGACATAATTCAGAAATACGCTTATCTGTAAGCAGTTTTTGACTAGTCTGTTTCCATTAGACATAGCTTAATTTTTGTAAACTTCTATGAAGAAATGACTGGCCTGATAGACACAGGGAGAGTGGTGGTTATTGCCTACTCAGACTGCAGGAAGGCTTTCAACACTGTCTCCTGTAAGATCTTCATAGAGAAGGTCATGAAATATGGGCTAGATGAGCAAACAGTGAAGTGGATTGAAAACTGGCTGAATGGCCAGGTCCAGAGGATGGGGATCATTGGCACAAAGTCTAGTTGGAGGCCAACAACGAGTGGTATACCTGAGGGGTTAATACTGAGACCAATCCTATTCAACATCTTCATTAATGATCTGGGTGATGGGGAAGAGTGTATCCTTCCAAGCTCAACCATTCTGTGATTTTATGATTCTATGAAATTCAGTTACCATATTTACTGAGTCTTGCTTAATGTTGTGGTCTTGCATAACCAGATTTTTCCAACTAAATTTAATTTCCTACTTTGTAGGTTTTTTGGTAAGATCTTTTCACCTTCATGCTGACACTTTAAATCCAACCAGCTGCATAGGTAACTGAAAATGTTTCTATGTGATGACTATGCAATAGCCTTTGTAAAATAAATTCATTTCCTAAGAGATTGGATCCACAGGTAATTTAGGCAGTGGGAACTCCACAACCTACTTGTAGAGTTTTCAACTTATTTCTTATATTTAGAGGTCTTATAGAGGTCTTAACATTATTTCCCATAGTCATAGAAAAAGTCAACCTCCTTAAATACTGAGTACTCACAGCATACTGACTAAAAGATATGTAGGGTAAAGAGGTTAAAGATCACTGAAAACAGAGTGCATCCTGCACCCTTTAGACTTTCTCAGTTACCAAGAGGAGAAAACATATCTTTGAGAAAATTTTAGCTTGTCTTTTGCTCTCTATTGCTGTGATTTCTGCTTTGCTGAAGTGGTTAGTAATAAGTAACCAAATAGTTCAATCAATAATTACAACAACACTGAAATGATGAGGTACAACATAAAGCAAACTCATAGGCTGTGACAAAACTAAACTGATTTACCAGTGAAAGTAATGACAACAATTTTCTCTCTACACTGCCTTTGCAGTACAGCAGTGCCTCACACGACTAATTCTCAAAGACAATCTCTAAGGTCCTTTCTGCAGTCTTGTTTTAACCCAGTTAAACAGTTTCTTTTATAAAGGTTTCAGTTCCTGTACATTTCTTAGCAGGTTTTAGACGTTTAATTTCTGAAAGGCAAGGTGTCCAACTGTCCCCCCATCCCTGTCTTCCATCTCATGCTGAAAGGAACACCAGTGGTGAGGCACATGGGACGCTGCTTCCTGAAGGTAATTCTTTTTCAAGTGTAGCCTCTTTCCACAGATTTACTTGTTATAATTTAATATAATTGTGTCTGCATAGATTTTTGCACAGATTTATGTTTTAGCAATTTCTTTTAATAACTAATAATCTGTGTGAATCTTACATCTCTCACTTGTTTACTTAAAAAGAAAGTTACTAGACATGCCTGTGTCAAAAATACTAAACAGATCTCAAAGATAAAATATCTCTGCTGTACACACTGACAAAATTTTATTATTTTTGGAGTTTGCAAATGATTCTGTTGTAGATAATCCCAGAGATTCGCCTTTTAATTCCAACAGAAAGTTTCCCTGTTTGTCTTTAAAGCAGCTGCCATAAAGGTAGACTCCTTTAAATGTTCTTACTCTTTCCTTAATTAATTTTAAAAAACATGTTTATTTTCTGCCCTGTTCTTATGACATACTGTATATCATATTCAATAAAGATCCAGTCTCTGTGGAATAGCGGTCATTTACCCTTGTTTTTGTAATGCATCTTCAATACATCTGTATAAGGGTCAGCAATAAGTCTGAATATCCACCTCTGACCTCAGAGGACTCCACTTATTCACATTATTAGTGAATTAATTTGGTCCTTTTCTTGTAACAAAAGAAATACTACCTTTCCTAATTTTTATTTCTTTATAAATAATAGATTTTCCAGTAACAGACGATAGATTGACCTAAATCAACACTTCTTCTTTTCCATTTCTGTAACGTGTAGGGAAGATTTTCTGTACATTATGCGAAAGCTACACATGCAGCCAGCATAAGAGAAAGTGCTGTTGTGGCCCATTAAATTACAAGATAGTAATCTTCTTCAAGGTTATTAAATATTTAGTTTCTAAGCTTCATTAGAAATGGTAATGATTGAAAAATGTTAAAGTATTGGCCACTAAAATAGATAAACACTCAGAACATCTTTCCTTTACCTTTACCTTTAGCCTCTCCATTCAAAGACTCATTTTGGTATGACTTGTATCTACCTTAAGTCACCAAAATAGCTCCTCTATATGTGAGGGTAAATGAATTAATAGAGCAAACAAAAATAATGGTCTTGGGAATACAGACACTTGGCTTTGTTTATCTTCTGTTGAT